TTACACAAAAATAACACAAAAGCAGTTGATCGTTTGTGATATGTGAGATTGACTTTGCTTCAAGTATACTGAGAAAAGAGATCCGAACCATAAGCCAGCAAAAAGTTTAACATAGTTTTCAGACCGAATTTAGGGGGGGGGGGTTGGTTAATTAATTTTCTCTGAGATGACCGCAATATGTAGGTAAAGTATTGGCGTCAAAAATTTGAAAAATCTTCTCTCAACAAAAAGACTTTTCCTTAAATCAAATTGTATCGCGCGAGCACTATTCTCTTTGCAATTCTGTTACTAAACTGAATGAAAACTTCATTAAATCAATTTTCAGTTTTTCAATTATTGTTTAAAATTACAGCTGCTCATTTAAAAATCTTGTTCATAATAATATGGAAAACAATCTAGACAAAGGCAAGCCAGCTGTTGCGGAAACTGCACCAAATATTCCGGCTCGATCGAACAAAGAGCTTAAAAAAACGGCGTTTTAAAAGTCGAATAAAGAACTCAAAAAAAGTTTCATTTTCTTTATTCCTGTTAATTTTTTATCCAGAAAAACGTGAGTAATTCTAAAGAACCAAAATAACCAATTTTTTTCACGGCATTGGGATCTTTTTCTGAGTTTATTAGAATCTTACTTATGACTATAAGGGTTTTGATAAGATTGCATTCTTTACCACTGGTCAATTATGAAAAAAAAATGTTGAAACTAAAAAAAATCTAATATCGAACCCCAACCTCGAGCTTAGAAGTTTGTAGCGTCTTAGCATCTGCATGATGGGCGTTTAAAAAGCTTCAAACACTAGCCAGCAATAAACCAGATGTAAAACAAAACAAGACTGCTCGTATCAGGGCGAAGCCCTGAATGTTCCGACTGCCTCTTAAGGTCTATGGAGCATTAATAACATGAAACGTTTCAATGTAATAAAAAAATTTAAAAAATTTTTTTTTGAAAAAATTTGAGATTTTATGTAAAAGCATCACCCCACACGTCATATTAAGTACAAAATGATAGATTTTGCGCCTATTAACAAATCAATTATGGCATTTAAGCTTCCTTGAACCATTTTGGAACGATTTCTAAGTCGGATTAAATCTCGCTTACGCGTTAATAGCGCGAAATTTATCGCGCGTTAATTGTCCCAAATTGGCCAAAATGGCAATCTTTAAACCCCCATAACTTTACGAAAAATGATCACAGGTGAAATATCTTTTCAAATTCAAGCTCAGGAAAACAATAGCTTTCGAATGATATAAAAAAATTCCGTCAAAAATGGCTAGTTAAAAAGTCGAAATTTGTCTGAAGAAAAAAAAACCCACCCCGAGCACAAATATTCCGTTACTTTCGTATCGAAAGTCGGAACAACAACTAGAAGGTAAAATTTTTCACTTTCTGACCGGAGCAACAATCAGTATTAGGTTATATTAAATAACAATCAGTTATTTATAATTGAGAGGGCCAGCTTAGAACTTTTAATGTTTGGGGAGTCAAATAAACTAAGCGTTGCTGTTTTCAGACTTCTTCTTCGAGATCGTGAAAATTAGTTCTACTCAGAAGTTTTGTGACTTACTTTCGTGGTTTTTCGACGTCATAGGCGAAAATGTTCGATGCATAATTGCGAATAAAGTTTCTGAACTCGTCTATGAAAGCTGCAAAACCAATTCAGTTGAAAATATTCAATGGGCCCTGAATTTTTCCAAGAAAGTTGGAACTTTAGAAGAACAAATGGGGAAAATTTACTCAGACGACAACACCTTGTTGACATTGATATGTCGCAAAAAGGACGCGGATTCGAAAGCATTGGAAATCCTATTGCATGCAGGGTTTCCAGAAGAATTCCTTCTTTACAAAGTTGAAGGCAAGAATGCTTTGGCGTGGGCTAAGGAATCGGGAAACTTGAAAATTGAACAAGCGCTTCTCGGAACCGACGAGAGAAAACGCATTTTTGAAAAGCCAGAGAAAGAACAAGAAAACAGAGGTAAAATCACAGAAAAATCGATCATCAAGCTTCTTTTTTTCTCAAAACAATCCTTTCAGTTCATGTTTGTCATTTTTCGTAGAAAAACTAGAAAATTTTGTAATTTTTACTAAAATTCAACGCTGTTTTTTTGAGGTTTGAAAGCGAACAAAAAGTAATAAAAAATTAGAACACAAAATACAAAAACTATTTCATTTTTCTGTCTATTCAGACGAGCTGATTCAACTGGAGCGCGAACTGGCAAGCAAATCTCCCGACTTCAAACAACTGGTCACGGAAATTGAACAATTGCAGAAAGACACTCCTAACTGCTGGACCGACTCACTGAGCTCAAAATCCACCTCTTTACTTGAGCTGCTAATTGATATCCAACAACAACTGAAAATCAGAAAATTGATTTCTGAACAACCTAAAGAGATTTCAGATACAATCCTGGCTTCATTCGCGCGATTGCAGAAACTTCACGGGTTTCTGAGAGTGAAAGCAAAAACTTCGAAAGGACAGCAAAAATTGGGCGAGTTGAAATTAACAGAGGGCGAAGAAAAACACTTCGCAAAAGTACTGGAAAGCGTGGAAAACGACATTATGAGGTTGAAAAAAGATCTCGGGCAATAGAAACTTCAGCTTAGAGAAATGAAAAAGATAAATATCTATAAATTACAATGATATATTGAGGATTCGTAGGTAAATTTGTTGGCTCTTCTACCGTTCCCCCTCTTGCAAAATTCTGTATTTTAAATTTTTGCTGCTTGTCCAGTTCTCATTATTCTATTAAAACCCCTCTTGTTATGTGTACAACTTTCAGAAATTATTGGTTACATAGTACATTTGATATTTGTATCTCGTGGTTGGGGCGGGGGAGGTGAAAGCAAAATCGCCTATTAAACTCCCAGGACATTTTACATTATGTCGATTTAAGCAATATATTATTTGAGCCAAAAAAGCTAAAAAGCTTATATTGATTTCAGTATAAGGCTCAAAGATGTATGAAAAAAAATTCATAGAAAAAAATGTCCTGAATCAGAATTCTTACTAAAATTCAATCGTTCGCATTTATTTTGTATTGTACGTTATTAAAATTTTGTGTTTCCACAAAAGTCTGAATAACTTGATTATTATAACCAGATAATCCTACATAGGATTATTAATTATTTCATCAAACCATTTAATTGATTAAATCATTCTTTGCAGCAATTTTTAATTTGTCATTTAATTTGTTGAAGAGAAAACTAGAGGAAAGGGCATCCATAAACCACAGCTTAAATTAACAATAAATTATTCGTTGATTAGAAGTCAGTGTCATGGTAAAAGTGCTTTTTGAAATCCCAGGACAATTTACATTATGTCGGCTTAAACGAAAATGAATTTAAGCAAAATAAATTAAAAAGCATAGATTTATTTCAATTTGAGGCTCATGTTTGTATAAAATGTGAATTCATAGAAGGAATTGTCCTGGATCGGATTTCTTAATGAACTTCAATCGTTCAAATATTTCGTGTATTGGAAACTTTTTATATTTGGTGGTGTCAAAAAAATCTGAGTAAATTGAATAGTATAAATTGTCATAGTGGCCATTTTGTATTTGTCCTCGTCTTCGTTTAGTTCTTAAAAAAATTTAGAGCGATTGGCATCCATAAACAACAGCTTAAAATTACAACAATTTTCTTCTTGAATTTATATCAGTATCATGGTCTCAAAAATAAAATACATCTTAACAAAATTGCTTGTATCAGGGCAATGACCCGACTGCATTTTATGGTCTATGGAGTGGTGTTAGCTTTGAGAAAATGCTTTTTTTGAATTTTTCTTGAAAACCATCTCCCCAATCATTTCGTAAAAGAAAAAGTGATGAATTTCGCATATAGCAAAATATCACAAAGACCAAATTAAAGGCCTCAATTCAACTTCGAACGATTTTTAGGACGTACTAAAACTCCGCTGGCACGTTATTAGGACGAATTATATCAAGCGTTAATTATCCCAAATTTCCCGAAAAAGCAATCTTTACGGAACTTTTTTCTAGATCAATCGAGAATTATTGGCCTGAACTCGAATTTATAGTGGGTTTAAAGGATGTCAATTCGGCAAAATGATCACAGATGAAATATCCTCACATAACTGAGTTCAGGTCAATATCTTTCGAAAGGTATTAAGAAAATCCGTCAAAAACAGCTAGTCTATTTTTGTCTGGAGAATAAAAATACCATTCCGAGCACAAATATTTCATCCGTCCGTCTTTGTCTGGAGAATAAAATACCATCCCGAGCACAAATATTTCATCACTTACTTCGAAAAACGAACAAAAATATTTTGTTACTCTGCTAGTATTCCTGAATCGGTTATAGAATAAAAGTTCAATTTTAAATTTGTCACCTGGTGATGAAAATTAACTGTATTTAAAATAGTCCTTGAGCTTTAGTATCTAATTTTATTAACAAATTTTTACGCTTGTAAAATTGTAATAAAGATTTTTGGCTGAGAATTTTATAATAATCTCAGCTTATATATATAAACGGTGTAAGTTCAGCACAGTGAAGAATCAGTTTGGCGAAACGCGGATATTTTATTTTAATTGTCGGCTGAGGTTATATCATTTTTTCAGAACCATTATTATCAGGGATAATTAGATAATAACAAAGTCATTCTAGTAGGCATGTGTAATTTCTTACACATTATTTTACAAAGATTTTGTCTTTTGTATACAAAAATGAGAACAGCTTTGCCTTAGCGCTGTAATCGATGCAGCCAACCAAATCAAAAATAATACGGTTTTTGGCAAGGTGACACTTGTTAATTTCGGCAAAATGATGTTTCGATATGTTGACATGCCAATGTATAAACATATGAATTTGAATAAGAAAATAATGAAATCTCTGAAATATCTTGCTGAAACTTTTGTCTAGAAAGCCGTTTACAGTGTTTTAACTACAGTGTTATGAATATTGAGAAACTAAACAAGGTTGATTCGGACGCGAAAAGTTTGAAAGTATAAGTTCGCACGTAAATTTGACAAATAAGGAAAAATTTACGTGCAATGTTGATTCGGACGCGAAACTTAACAATGTTGATTCGGACGCGAAATATATGAAAGTATAAGTTCGCACGTAATTTTGACAATAAGAAAAAAATGACAATTGTTTAACAATAAGGTTTAATAAAACTTTAAACTTGACTGGCCATATAAGTCAGTCAGAAAAAAAATTTTGCTTTCAGGCTAGCTTTTGTAGACAGAGCACACAAAATGCAGCAAATTGAGAGCAATTGAATACTGGTGTCAATTGAAATAATTTCCTTCTATTTTTGAACAGCTTTTCAAGTTTATAGCAGTTACATTGTCTGGTGCAAGGCTAATTTATAGTTGACTTGGTTATTTCCCTTATTCATTAAAAAAATCAAAATCTTGAGCTGAAAGTGGGAATTTTGATCCTGACTGACCTAAGAAAAAGTTATGGGATTCAAGCGCGAAATGGGAATTATTTTGTCTAATCATCAAAAGAAAATTTAGTTTTCAAATAAAGTTGAAATTACTTGTTTAAATGGATCAATTTTTTCTGACAAAATTTCATCAAAATCGTATTGGTCAAACAAAGTCATCATTGCAAAAGTTGCAGCAATTGAAAATCAATTAAAAGTACATCGCAAAATAAAACAAAAACTATCAATATATATATATATATATATATATATATATATATATATATATATATATATATATATGCAGTAATTTTTCTTCCTCTGTTTTATGCATGAGCAAAATTACAAAAACTGTAAAACTGAGGTGAATAAAAGAATCTTAGATCAAATTTAGTTATGAGCCTATTTCAGTTTAAGTTATGTTTAAGCAGTAGGGCAGTAAATTAAAGGATATCAACGTATTGCACGCTTTGAGTCAGCTTCAGATAATAAAGTGAAAGAAGTAGGAGTTCTTTGGAGACAATGGTTACATAATGAATTAATGACAAAAAAACTGCGAACTGAGCAAAACCAATAAAATGTTTCGATCAAAAACTACCCATATCAGTGGAAATATTAATTTCTTTGTCCAACCTACATTTTCTTATTGATGTTAAAAAAGTTTTGCTCTAAAATTTTTGCATACCCGTACCCAACGGAGGCTGTTTTTCTAGATAAAAACTTTTCAATAAATTATCTAGCCTAGTTTTCTCATATTTTCTGTGCACAAGTGATCTATTTCTTTTCTAGTTTCGTAATAAACAGTTTCTGGAAAAAAAAATCAGAAATCAGTTCACTGCTCAACCGCAACGAAATAAACATGCTTCGAGTATACACAATAACAGTGGCAAAACAATCCAAGCTAACACTTGTTATAACAAGTTTCATTTCAATAAAACTAGCAATGTTCAGCAAGGCCTGTAGCCTGGTGATTAGCACAACCGCGTATAAAACTGAGAGTCGGGGGTTCGAGTCATACCAGGAGACTTTTTGCTAGCCGGAAGTAGCCTAGATTTAGATAAGGTCTGAGCAGAATTAAGATGAGAAAAAAAAATTTAAGAAAATCCCTGCTTTAATTAAACATTTCAAAAAGAATTTCAGACCAATTGAAAACAAAATAAATTGAATAACAATTGAATAACAAAACAAAAACATCAGCAGAACTGAATTGCAAAAGTCTTAGTAAAATCAAGGAAAACCAGAAAAAAATTGTTTGACCATTTTTTTTATTTTTTAGTTGCAGAAGAATTTAAACAATTCAAAAAGAATTTCAGACCAGAAATTAGATTAATTATAAAGTATTTCAGGTCAGAAATAAAAATTTTCTCGGTACGTGTAAGTAGGCAGCTTTCAAATCACTGATATTTATGTCACAGATTATCTATTGTTGCAACTTGTTTTGTTGCAATTAAATAACAAAATAAAAACATCAGCAGAACTGAATTGCTAAAGTCTATGTAATATCAAGGAAAACCAGAAAAAAATTGTTTGACCATTTTTTTTATATTTTTTAGTTGCAAAAGAACTTCAACAATTCAAAAAGAATTTCAGACCAGAAATTAGATTAATTATAAAGTATTTCAGGTCAGAAATAAAAATGTTCTCGGTACGTGTAAGTAGGCAGCTTTCAAATCATTGATATTTATGTCACAGATTATCTATTGTTGTATTTTGTTTTGTTGCAATTGAATAACAAAATAAAAACATCAGCAGAACTGAATTGCAAAAGTCTTAGTAATATCAAGGAAAACCAGAAAAAAAAAATTGTTTGACCAATTTTTTTATTTTTTAGTTACAAAAGAACTTAAACATTTCAAAAAGAATTTCAGACCAGAAATCAGATGAGATAAAAAGTATTTCAGGTCAGAAATAAAGAGTTTTCTAGTTACATGTAAGTATGCAGCTTTTAAGTATGCACTGATATTTATGTCACAGATTATCTATTGTTGTACTTTTTTTGTTGCAGTTGATTAACAAAATAAAAACTTCGGCATAACTGAATTGCAAAAGTCTCACTAATAATAAGGAAAACCAGAAAAAAATTGTTTTGACCAATTTTTTTTCTAGTTACAAAACAGTTTTTTTTACTTTATCGCACTTTTTTGAATAAAACCCCCTTTTGATAAAACTAACTGAACTTAAATAATGATGAAACAATATCGGAAGAAAAGTTTTTGACGAAAACTTATTTAAGATTGAGCTTTTTAAAAGACTTTCTATACAGTAAAAATCAATAAAAATCACTTGATCTGAAAAAATGTCTTCAAATCGTTCATTAACAGTTAATCAAAAATGACCATTGATAGAAATGAGCCAGTACGTAGAAAGGTGCTCAAAAGCTTTGAAATTTTTTTTTGCAAATTAAAGACTTGTAGATTACCGATATTTAAAAAATTGACTATACCGCCTTATGATAACATGTTAGTTTCCGTACGCATCAAAATCACATCCAGATAATTCTTTTAAACAATTTACCAGTAATTTGAAAAATAACGATTAGCAGCATAGATTCATGTCGAGATCGAGATCATTTTGATGAGAGGTATGGAGGGGTTGTTTTTTTCTAGATTTCTCTGTGCAGTTACCAGTAGGACTTAAGCTAAAAGACTTTTTCAGAAACTTTGGGTTTATGAAGTTGTTAATTATTAAGAAGCGTCTTTAATTTTCTATATCAATTATAACTTCAGAATCGGCTTCGAAATTAGACCTGGATAGAGATCGCGGCACCAAATTTAAAATGTTTTAAAGCTGCAATTATGTGGTCCGGCATTGTCTCGTTTCATTGCGATTGCTGATTGTTCATAATGTGGCTCTCATAGAAATCCATTGTCTGAAACATGGGCAAAGTTAACAAAACTATAGCTGGATACCTGAAACAAGTGGTGGACTAAGACAAAGTATATGGAGATCATAGTAAACCAATCGACTCTATGAGAGAAGGGTTATGAAGGTTATGAAAAAAAGACAAATAAGAGTATGAAAACTGAATTTGTAGATTTCACATAAAAATCCCCATTATTGAATATCAGATTGATTCAATATTCTGTAAGCCTTAATTTTCTTTATACTTTTGCATTGAATCTTTTTCCACATGAATTGGGTTCTGTAAATGATCTCGCGGTATGAATTGGAAATATATGTGATATTGGAACCACATGATTGTGAATTTTTGAGAAAATAAACTTCAAGCAGCGTGCAAAGACGTTTTTTTTTTACTTTTGAGGTCTCATCACATTACTCTGCCTGGGTTGCCAAAGCGGCAGACCCCCTCCCACCCTGTGAGGCGGAGGCACCCCCGAAGATATCCAGGTTGTCGCGAGAACTAGTCTCGTCCGTTGTGAAACCCTGCAAATGAGTTCAATCTCAGGTCCAAATTTTTTCTTTCAATTGGAGATATATAAACAAAAATAATTTTTTTTTCAAATCTGTTTAACCACAAAGACTAGATAACCAGACAATATATTTTATCAAAAAATTAATGGTTTGATGACAACTAGTATCAAAGGTTATAATGCAAACGGAGACCACAAAAAAATTGTTGTGCAAACATTCTTTTGCAACAATTTTTTCAATTTGATCTAGAGTTCAAACAAATATTTTTTCAGCAAAGTCCCTAAATAGTTGAAACTAATGATGTGTTGAGAAAATTACCTTCCATTTGATCCCCTCCAATAGTGTAAATGATACGCTGGATCCGAACTGGTTCCCGACTGGTTTCTGCTTCGGCATCTCAAACAGGATCTGAAACTCCTCTGGGGCGCCTTCCTTGTTATCTTCATCTAAAAGATCCATATCCATCAAACTTTTTTCCTTATGTTGACTCCTTTTCTGACCTTTAGCCGCGTTTCGCTTCTTCCAAAATGCACTCCAGAATTGCAGAAGTTGTTCTTTGATTAAATCTGCAGTCTGAACAAATTCGGACACTTCTTCCAAGTGGTGACCTCTGCCTTGACCTTTGTTACTTGACCCTCGTATGAACATCTGACACTGTCGCAACATCTTTGCAGCCTGTTCGCTTGAAGTTTCGATCTGAATCTTTTCATCAGAAGTATGACAGTCGACGTAAATGTCGATGATGCCGTTTAGTTTTCGTCTAAGTACAACGTCATCGTGTTGGTCTTGGTGGATGAATTGAGTGAGTTTGTAGACTTCTATGAAGAATTTCAGACTGTTTGAAATGTAGGGCAATTCTTGGTCGGCCCCATATTGTTGCAAATAATCACTGAAAAAAAGCACGCCAAATCACTTTCATACTTGAATAATCAAGCTCGTTGATGAAATTTTTTTTTTCAATACAAGCATTGTTTCGAATTTTATTTTAAATGTGTAAATAAGTTACAATTTTTTGAGAAGACAGTGATTTAATTGAAAAAAAATACATCGTAAAAAATAGGCAAAAAAAAACGTTTCCTTAAGATCGTAAATCATTATTTACTGGAACTGATTAAGGATGTCTCTGCACTCCTGTGACGTGGTCTCCTTGGCCAGCATCTTTGAAAAGGTGCTCCTGTCGCCCTCACTGGGGATGGCTCTGATACCTGCCAGGGCAGCCGACTTGGATGGTAGTCTATTCTCCACTCTCCTCCTCACCCACATAGGTGGAATGATTTTTTCGGCTACCTGAAACAGAAAATGACCTACGTTTATATAGTTAAGTATCTTTATAGGTCAACGATTAAGTTAATTAACATAAAACTGCTTAATTTTAATGGCTGAGATCAGTTTTTAACTCATTTGAGCACAAAGAATACGGTGCCAAAAATCTATTTTAACTTAAGAAGAACGTTTTATGAGCATTACACTTGCTCAAAGTTGACGATATTGCCAACAATTTGGCATTAACTATATTAGTAGCCAAAAATTCATTGCCAAAAATATTATTTTCCTGATTAATTTTACATAAAATTATGGCATAATAAATATAGAGTTGCATCACGATCCCAATCAACATGTCAACAATAGGCTTTGAAGAACTGATTAAATTGTAAATTATCTTATTTCGCTGCTCAAGTTTCAGATTTGTGCCGAACAAAAAAAAACATCCTCTTCAGAAATTGTATTTCCCTTGTGAAGGTCAGTACTCACGTGGGCACCTTCAGCTGCCAATTTAGCTCCCCCAATCGACATTCTTCTGTTCGTCTTTGAATGATCTTGAGACCATTTATGACCTTCGTAGAAAATTTTAACCGCAGCTCGCAACTGTTTCTCAATGTAATCTTCCGTCGCTTTCATCCGTTCAGGGGTTAATTTTTCTTTCACTAGGTACTTCTTGGGTAAATTGACCCTCAAAGGCGCGTAGGCGTCCAAGTAAGTTGTGTATATGAGTTGTGATTGAACGTCTTTGACTTTCGCCGATTGATGAACTAATTTATTGTATTTCTGAATTTCTAGAAACAGTCTGAATAGCAATAATGTGTTGAACCCTTCGTAAGATTCACAGTACTTGACAAAGTCTCGAGTTAAACTTTGCCAATCGGGGGTCAAAAAGTCCTTTACACTTGAAAGTGTCTTGATCTGAGACGCCTTTTCAGCCCTTCGCTTCTTTTCTTTCGCCTCTTCTTGTTTCTGTTTCTCAGCTGCTAAAGTATCAGCGTGATTACTTTTTTCGACTGTCACTGTCTTGCGAACCTTCTTTTTCTTTTTGCGTTTTCTTGCTTGGCTGAGAAAGCTGCTCTGCTTTTTCCTAAAACAACTTATTGTCAAACCCATTTTAAAAATGGCATATTTTTTCTTGAGGAGGCTTATCCCGTACTGACAAAAATGGTTTCGGATCGATTTAAATTGATTTTAAATCGATCCAAATCGATTAACAATGTACATTTTACGAACTTAAATCCATTTAAATCGATCTTTTTGAAAAGTTTAAATCGATTTAAATGTCTAAAACAATCGATTTAAATCGATTTGGATGGATTTTCAGACCCACTAAAATCGTTTTTTTTTGCTAACAAGGCGAAAAAACACCCTTTAAAGAATTGTTGGAATTTTTTATTCTCGATTTTTTAAATATAAACTATAAAAATATAAAGAAAATTATAGAATTTTATCGATATTTTGGTCTTCTCGTTTGATCTTTTTTATGCTACAATACGCTATGGATGTAAACTCAAAAATGATAGGCAATGAATAAATGCAACAAAAATTCGAAACTGATAAATCTCGAATGAAAAAAATCAATCTAAATCGATTTAAATCCGTTTTAATCCCCTTAAAAATAAAAACAAATTCAGACTGAAAAAAATGCATTTAAATTGATTTAAAATTCATATGGATCAATTTTTTTAGCTGGGATTTAAGATCATTTCAAATCGATTTTAAATTGATCCAAATCAATTTTCATCTTTTTTATTTAATCTTCGTACTTTTTTCATACTAAAATTCATCTAAATTTAATCAACGTACTTTTTTCATAGTAAAATTGATCTAAATTTAATCAACGTACTTTTTTCATACTAAAATCGATCCTAATCCATTTTTGTCAGTGCGGGATCGTAACAAAACTTTCGTTGTCAAAATTTGTTTAATGCTTGCTCTTTGAAATATCACATTCAACAAACGCATCAGATAGTTTCAAGAAAAATATGAAAGGTCTTGACATAAATTCATGCCACAAACACCCAGTGCAACTGAGCATATTTTCTCGAAACGGAAATCAAATGTAACACAGAGGCAAAGCGGAGCTTTGCATAACATGCGGCACAGAGATGGATTAATAAAAAACAAAGAGAAGGGAAACTTTTAGCACCCTTCACTACTCCCAATTCATTTGCTTATATCTCAGATTATTCAAACCTAGTCACAAGGAGGTTATAAGGGAAGTGCTGACTAGGATCGAATATACAATTTTCCAACAAAGACTCTTCTTTTTGGAAACCTGATTGTTTTTGAAATTGTTTTCATCAACAATATCTCCACAATAGAGATTTGGGTAGACATGAGCGTTAATGATATGCTACACAATCTAAAAACTTTCCTTCTAGCTAACTTTTTGGAGAAATTGTAGACATAACTTCTAATAGAAAAAAGTTCAAAACAAAAAAACCCTTTCAAACATCACGATAACTTTTTTGAGTGCGTTTAGTTTGATTAAATTTAAATCTTTTCCCTGCATTACAGAGATGCTATTTTTAGACACTGGGGTGAGGCTGCGCTTCGCAAACACAAGCGAAGAAAATGCAAAAAAGAGCTCTAAACAGGCAAAACAAAGTGAAACAAGGAAAAGTTACAGAGACAACTTTAGAAAAAAAACTTGGTGAGGTTAGTAGTATCAAGCTCTCGCATTTGCTCCACGACCGCTTGTATTTTTATATTACTAGCCACCAATAAAGCAACTACAGTTTATATCAAACTGCCAAGGCTACGCAGCACAAATTCGACCAAAAAAAATATTTAATTGCTCCGAATTTGAAACTCCGACCTGCTAAAAAGGGCTGAATTCTTCTGTTTTAATTTTGTAAATCATATATTGTACTTAGACGGAAAAGCAAAATTTTCAAAAAAATGCATATAGGCAGTACCCTAGTAGTTGCTCTGCTAAAGCAGTGGAATAGTTGCTTAATTATAGGAGAAAACTAATAATCGCTCTTTCAAATGAAGTGTTTAACTCAGATTTGGCTGAGTAGTTTTCGGAAAAGTAAATAATAAATCACACAACCTATCAAAAATTTAAAAATTTGACTTTTGTAAATCCATAAAATTTCTTTTTTTACAGCATGCAAAAAGCCTTTTATGCGGGGAAGATTTGCATAATCTGGGTTTTGAATTAAACATTTGATATCAGATTTAGCTAGTATTTTTTGAGAATGGTGATGAAGTTTCGAGAAAAACAGTAAAAGTTTCACAAAAGGGGTTTTTCCGAAATCCAGATCAGATTTTCCGCAAACAAATAAGTCAAACAATTTGCGCAGGGAAAAGTTTAGCAACATTTGTGCTTGAATGATTAATCAACCTCAGAAACAGCAGGTTAGTTTTTTCAAACAAAAAGAATGAGTTTCCAAATAACAGGCAAAAAAATCAAATATTGGATATTCTCAAAAGCCATGTTTTTTCAAAAGGCAGAGCACAACTTTTTATTCAGGAAAGATTTGCATAACTGATTGTTTTTTTTGGGTTAAAACATTCATCTTCAATTTGGCAGGGTAGTTTTTGAGAAAAATTTAGGAAAAAACAACAAAATTGTCAACCTTTTTAACCCAATTTTAGGGAATAGCCGCTTGAAAAGGGGAGATTCCTTTATTTTTTTACATTTATTTCTTCATCTCAAACTTGTGCTTTTAGGATTTGAGAAAATGAAAAAAATTCAAAAGAAATAGGCCGAAAACCTCTCTACTGAAAATTTCGAAGGCTGTAGAACGTGAGGTAAAACCAAATGAGACAAGCATAATGCAGGCACACAGAAGAGCTACCGGTTTTTACATTGGTACAATTTTTTTTAAAATCGTTACAGTAGTTTTTGAGAAAAATTGAAGTTCTGCGAACATTTTTCAAAGCGTCTCGAAACAAAAACATAAAAAAAAAACAAATCCCATACAGTTTCATAATTACCGGTTTTTTTTCAAACAGGACCTAACACTAGCCAAAAATAAAGCAACAACATATGCCTTCAAAATAATTATGATTAAACAGGCTTTTAAATATGAATAAATTGAAATACACCAAAAAAAGTCACCGAATGAGCAGTTTTATTTGCGACTTAGGTTTGAAAAAAGTTCTTCGAAATAATACAATACGCTTCGTCTTTGTAAAAATTTTTTGTTGAAATACACTACGCTTCGCAGGTGTAAAACTTACTGCAATTAAAAACGGCAGTATCCTTTAGGCTAAAACTCATTATTACATAGAAACGGAATGCATATTGAACTACCCCAGAGAGCAATGGATGGTGAAACAATTATACACACTAAAGCGGAACTGCGCTTTGCGAAAAAACGTATATCTTGAATGGTAAAAAAAAGAAAAAAAACGTAAAACAATAAAAAAACAAAATAACTAAGAAAATTCTGACATGTGCCGGACCCGAACACCCGACCTCGATATTAAGAGTTTCATTGAGAAATTGGCAAAAACCGGCTTACAAAAGGTCAAAAGCTTAATAGCAAAACGTTTTAAAATACAGGCCTTGAACAATGAAACTCGCAATTTCCATGCGCAGCTACCGTATTTTTGCTTTGCGCAGATACCGAAACCTCAACCTGTAGATTAAAGACTCTCGTCTTCGCCTATTCGTAACGGCAAACCCTAGCTAATAACAAACCAGGCGGATGCTTTCTAAGTACCAAAATTAGGAAGCACAACTGCACAACGTCCGCTGGCTAGATTGTGTTAAGAAAGCTTCTAATATGTCATTAAAAAAGTACACGAGCTCGTATAAATTTCTATGAATTTCTCATTGGAGAACTAAACCGACAGAACTTTAGTCAAAAACCGGGAAGCCAAAAAAGCATCGACAAAAATCTAGGCGCTTTACCTCAGAACTAAACATACAGCTGCCTGAAAATAACCAAAGATTCAAAATCAAGCAAGGTTAATTTTACAGATTTGTAAAAAAATGTTTGAAGAGCAATAGGTTTTGTTTCCGATTACAGGATACTTTTGTGTCGAAAAAAGTATAATGCAAAAATATCATTATTAAAACTTTGCACAGATGTTGCAAACTAGGATCAAAAGTGAACTGAAAAAAGTATAAAAATTAAAAAAAACTGAGAGCAAATTTTAAAAAGTAACCTGTACTGTTCAATATCCTGAGCAATCTGAAATGCATTCTGCAACCTCAGTTGTTTTTCAGCCAAAGTCGACTCCTCATTGACGACCACTCTGTTCTGCAGCGTCACCCTAGGTTCCCGCTTGTCTCTGTTAACCATTGCAATATTATTTGTTCTTGTTAGATCACGTGATATTCTTTGGTCTTGATGGTCTGTTCCAGTAGTCTGTTTGTTGCAATCATCTTCTGCCGAGAAGTCGAAGTCCAGAGATGATTCTAGCGTTTCGGAGTCCTTGACGGCGTAGTCAATCCATTCTGCAACATTTTTGGAACAGCTATAGATTGACAATTTAAACACAAGTTTTGGCCTAATTTTGCTCATTTTTTAGCAAATATTCAATAAATCAGCTCAAAAACTAAGCTACAAAATTTTGAAAAACGCTAGAAGAACGGTTGATGTTAATGACAAATTGTGAATAAGCGTAAAAAAAAATTGCAATTGAACGAATTTTGATTCTTTGACGCGCAATAATTGGCTCTGGTTGACCATCAGTAAAGTACAAAGCCAATTTGGTCAACCTTCATTGCAAAATTGAGTGGTAAACTGTGGCTCTTAACTCAATTATATTAATCAATGGCTTCTTACGCGGTAACGCTGGTAGTTTTGCAGCAAAACTAATATACACTGGTCAATGCTTTTCCTTTTCAAGCTGATTTTTGTTTACTATCATTTCAGTTTTGACGGCGCAAAATCCTGCCAAGTTTTCAACTTATTAAACTACTACAAGGACTTCCGGGTCCTGTAAATTTTTTAGTGATTTAACTTGGCTTCCTAATTTCTGATATAACTTCTGATATATTTTCTAATAGAAATAAGCAAAAGAATCTAATTGATTTGACTGAAAACAGAAACTACTCACGCGACTTGAGTTGTTTTAAAATGTTCTCAGTGATGCCTTTGAACACATGTGAACACTTCATATTCACATCTCTCTCATTCGCCCTCTCCTCTAGAGCCACCCTCAGCTGCTCTATCTGGACTATATCTCTGGTGACTGCCCACAGACTGGTAGTGGTGAAGTACTTGTTGAAAATACCCCAAGCATTGCTCAGACGGATGAGTCTGTCGCCCACGCGTTGCTCTGCCTCCATTAGCTCTAACATGTCCTGCCAGTAGAGGTATTGTGCTGAAAAAAGTGTGAAATGCAATTTGGATACGGATATCAAATACCCATAGAACCAGCTTCTCTATATTTGAGCTTAAAAATTAGGTTCGTTCTCATTATAGACTTTACGAGCCAGTAGCGGAACTGGGGAAGAAACAGGCCACACCATCTCCGGGATACGGCCCTGATGACCACTGATAGGGTCTCCCTTCGGTACTTTTTACGATATCCAGTAGCGAATTTTTGAAAAGAAAACAGAAAAAATGACCCTTTTTTGAAGGTGAAGAAGATCAAAGAAAAGCTGCAAGTAAGTACTAAGTAAAAGCATAATTTTTGGTTGCTGTGCTAGACGCACAAAAAGTGCCTCCACAATTATTCACTCATTGAATTTAAAAAAATTTTCAACTGTTTTTTTTCTTTCGAAGAGAAAGTGTGCTAATTTAAGCTTCCTGGACTGATTAAAATTTTTTAAGATACAAAGTAATGTATAAATACACTATAACTGGCGTAAATACAATCAGTTCTTGAACTTTCCTTTAAATTGACCTATAAAAGTAAATCTGACGTTTACTTGTGGTACATGAGATTGAATGGGGATGCTAATCAATTACAAAAAGGAGTACATACTGTGAAACTAACATCAAATTGATGTTCAAAAGTATAGTTACCTAGTGATGTCAATGTTTGCTCCACCGAGTCCGAACTCAGACACATCTGCTGAAGGTATCTCTGAAAGGGCCCACCCGAGTCCTTATCCTTAACGATACACATCGTGACTTCGTCCAAAGTTATCAAATCTTCGCCCATAATCAAACTCACAATATTCTCCGACTTAAAGTCCACGTGATCAATTTCCGACACAAAGTTGAAAGCTGAAGGCGCTGTTTTGAGTCGTGAGTTACGATTGGCACTTTTGATTCGCTCGTCTGGACGTTTGCCGCTTTCCAGAACTTTGATCCAGGGTACCATCGGGTTGCTTGCGTCACTCCATGAGACTTCTGGTTGCACACTTAGAGTGCGAGCTACGTTTAAACTAGGCAAGAAATCTATTGTAGTCAGTGTTTCGAATCCGGGTGTTTTAAACTTGTCTGATTTTTCTTTTGATACAATATCCAAACCTGTGCTCTCAAGGTTGTACGTGCCATAAGTTCCAGCTTTAGTTTGACAATAAATTACAAATCTTGGAACCCAGTAACATCGAAGACGTTTTAAAGCATCGTATTGTGCTTTGGAAAATATAGCTGGACTGAAGTTATCCGATCGTTCATTGATAAGCTGCGTTTTTGTTTCATTTGTCAACTTCAACCCATATTTATCCAAGAGTTCACGAAAAGCGTGAAGATAAACTTTTGACTGAATTTCATGAGTTTCTAGTTCTTCAAATTGAGTCATATCATCTCGAAACTGCTCACAATCTATCCAAAAATTCATCAAAGTCTCGCCTTGCGTACCTTGCAGAAACTTTGTAAACTCTTTCATTATTTCACGATTTTTAAAAATGATTTCTTTGGACTCCTGCAAACTGTTTATATTTTCGGCAGCAATTTTGTTAGCGCCGTTTTCATTGGTGGATGCCAAATCTTTCACTACAACTAAATTATCTTGGTCGTTCACTTCGTCAAACTCGATGCAAGCAAGCTTATCATCAACCTCTTCAATTGCTATTTCTTCATCATCTTCAAAATTTTCATCCTCTTCATCGTTTTCTTTTTCAATTTCAGTGTCATCTAAATTGAAGTTTTGGCACCTTCTTTGCAAGTCACTTTTGTTCACCAACAGATCCGATTCTTCTGAAGCTCTGTTTGTTGAAGATTGCTTCTGATTGGTCGAACTCCGTTTTTCCGAAGACACACAGTTACTTGTTAAGTGTTTCACTTCACTTCCGTTGCTACTTTTCTCCCCAGAAATCCCCAAAAACTGGGTTTTCTCTTTTTCAAATGTGTTCACAACAATATTACCATTGGGGTTTGGAAACGCGTTTGAGTTAGTCGCAATTGAATGTCTAAGGTGGGTCAAGTATACCGGCAGGCTGAAAGCACGACTTCCAGGTCTTAAGTATCGGAAGCCAGCTTGCAGTTGCTCGTATAAGTTTTGATACTCGTATGACTCACTGCTTTCGCATGACTTGTTACCAGCTGGAACAAAATTACTCAATTTTTGTCGTCTTAAAAACAATCAATGTTAATGATGAACTTTTCTGTAAATCTCTTCCAATGCATTTTCAAAAAAAAATTAACTTAAGAGCAGACAAATTTGTTGGAGTTGAAGATTGAAGTTTATTAGCGTTTAATGAAAAAACTTACGTGTTATTTACATAAGCAGAAAAGTCAATTTTCAGATGATAGTCTTACTTTGTCGGCCAAACCAAAGAGACTAGGCTCTTAAAAAACAAAAGTACCCAGACTGTCGGCCGAGCTGACTTCGTCAGTTCGTGAAACACCCCCCAGTCGTGCACTGAGTCGTGAGTTGGCTTTGCTCTGAGATTGCGACCGAGATCCATTTCTATTTGCTGACGTCATCGTAGGTCGTAAAGGTCTTACCAAGTATCGACACAGTTTATATTCCAAGTATAACCTTAAAAATTCAAATTATAACTTTTTTCATTAATAAGTAAAGCAGTTATATTTTTAGTAGTTTTTATGATATTTGCATTTTAGGGTAGTTTTTCCGGCCCAAGTAAACAATCGCCTCCCTAAATCAAATTAGGAGAGAGATTTTTCACTTGGTTAAAAACAATCTTTATCAGCCGATCAGATTTCAGCATAGTACTTGCAGACATCACAGCTTGAATTTGTATCTATTTTGAAGGGGTGATTGTTCACACTGTTTTTGGATACTTTATCTATTACTAATCGTAATTTTTCATGTTCATATTTAAGTTTCTTGCTAAAATATATACCTAGTTTGAAGGAAGAAAACTAGTCGTTCATTTTTCACCCATCTCAGAATAGCTTCTCGCTGCTCCTCGTTGGCTCCATACTGAGGCGGCTGATTCATCGAACTAATGGAAAAAGCATCTTTGTTTGCTTCCTTAGAATCTTCCTCCTGTTTAATGCGAACCAAAGTGCCTGTTAGCCGATCAAATCTAAAAATGAACCGATTTAAAAATAACTACGAATGCATTTTGATTTTGGAGCAAATCAATCAGAAGCGTAACAGTATCAAGGACAGCCACGGCAATCATGTTGAAAAAAAATTTTCTTTTTTTTTTGCGTTTTTTTAATCAAAAAACATGTGCCGTTTTTTCAATTCGCAATAATGACTACACAGCAAAGCTGTAACTTTGCAAACAGAAGCGAGAAAGCGGCAAAAACGAGCTTTAAAATGCACAAATGTACAAAACTGTCTCTCAATGCACGTTTTTTTTCTACAAAATATTGCAAGTAATAAAATAGGTACTAGATCAACAACAGCTGTATATTGCATCGACTAAAATTGTGAATGAACTGAGACACGCAGTGTCGGTGTGTGAACAAATTTCGAGATGCAATGTAAGCTGTTGCTTATCTGGTATGAAACAAATGTAAAAAAATGTGAAAAAAACACACTTTTGAAAAAAATTTTACGCTAACACGCGATCTTTCTTTCTTATTATTCAATTTGATTGCTCTTGGAAAGACAAGGCACTATTCTTCCGATGATTGCACTAGTGTCTTAAGTATTAACTCAATGCTAAACTCAATGGAGCAGCGTCTGCTTAAAAAATTAAAGATTTTTTACAAAAATTTGAAAAATTTTTTGGAGTTTTTTTTGGAGTTTTTTCTGGAGTTCTTTCCATTTTTTGGAGTTTTTTCAATCATCCCCAAGCGCCATTTTAAATACAAAGAGATAGATTTTGCTCTTACTAACGTAGGTTGGCTCAACCAATTTGGAACGATTTCTAAAAAAAATCTAAGGTTAAGTCTCCTCTTAAGCGGTAATATTGCAAAATCTGTCTTGCGTTGTTTGTCCGAAAATAACCATATTGGCAATATTTAAACAACCATAACTTGATCAAAATGATCACAGATAAAACTTCTTTTTAAATTTGAGTCCAGGACAACAATACTTTTTGAATTTAAAAAAAGTCAATCAAAAATGTATTGTTAAAAAAAGGTCTATATTTGTCATCAAAAGTCGAAACAAAGTTTGTTCGATGGATTGCTGACTGAAAGCAAAAACAAAAGCGATATCATTTTCTAAGGGATAGAAATACCGATTCTAATATACTATCTTCGTAGAACTAATCAATTTAAGGTGAAAAAAAAAGACAATATGTCCAAAAACCAAATCAACAGCCGGTTTAACCAGTCGGAAACATCTGACATTTATTTAGTGTACATACAAAGGACAAAATAGAGAATCTTAAGTCATTCACAAAAAAATTAAGTGATGGAAGAACGTAACTTAGCTTCAACATCTTGCCCTGTGTTAAAACACGAGCTTGAAACCTCAATTAACATTGGTGGTTGTAGAAAAAAAAACTAATATTTAGAGAAAATCATTTTTTGTTACGCGAAACAAATCATGCTATTTTTCATCATTATTAGTTTTAAACACAGTAAGAAAAACTTGGTTTATTTTAAAAAAAATTCTGAAAAAAATACCTAGATAAACCAAAAATTTAAAAATCGCGTCCCAGTAAATTATAGATAACTAGCGTGTAACGCAGCTCTGGTGCTTCGAATTTATGAAAACTCATAATAAATCGCAGATATTGGAATTAATATCGGTATCTTTTAAGCGTACTCTGACTGCGCCTAATTACCTGGTGCTAATTTCAAGTTTTGTAAAAATGTTCATTCAAATTTTTTTAGTTCAAAATTTGAATATATGAGTTCGTTGAAAGTTTTGAAAAATACAGCAAAACATTTGGAAGCAAGGTTTTCCACCTGTGAAAGTACTCACAGTACCTAACTACAGGTTTGGGAACATCATATTTTGAGAAACTTCAAATTAAAGTTTTCTAAGTTTTTTTTGAAATCACCAGAAAAAATGCCATATCTCGAAAACTACAAAAACTTGAGCCTTTATATTTGGAATCAAGATTCGCAACCCCTGAGAGTCCTCTGACATTCTCAAATTTCAGGGCAAGGAATTCCAAAGCAAGGAATTCCAAATTGTGAAAAAAAAATTTAATTTTAGATTCTGAAAAAATTTTTGAAAAAATTACAAAAAACGTCATATCTCGAAAAGTACAAAATTTGAGCAATCATATTTGAAACTAAGGGTTAGGAATTCAAAAACTTGAAGAAAAAAATTCAAATTTTAAATTTTTGAACAAAAAACGTTGCATCTCAAAAACTGCAAAGATTTAAGCAGACATTTTTAAAGAAAAAACTCGCAGCCCTTAGGCGTGACCTGAGAAGGCCTTACTATATAGATAAGGACTTTAAATTTTTGTGATGTTTTTAATATCTAATTTCTTTGACCATTTGAAAAAAAAAATACATTACAAACGTCAAATTTCGCAAACTAAAAGCATTTGAGCAGTCGCTTTAGTTTGCAAAATTTTCAACATAGAACTCCTGTGAATATACTCACAGTACCCAAATACAAGCTTGAGAACTTCAAGTCTTTTAAATTTTCTAAAATCAAATTTTCCACTACAGGGTTCAAAAATCGGAATCATTGCAATTTACGTTATAGCTTAAACTTTTAAATATAATTTTCTAGCAATTTCTGATAGATCTCAAAAAATGCCGCATCTCTTAAACTAAAAGGATTTGATTATTCAAATATGGAGGCCAAAATCGCAAAAGATGGGAAGTCCTGACAGCATACCAGTATTGGTTTGCCAATTTTAAACTTGGAGCTATAAACACGGAATTCAAACTGGAAAATAAAAAAATTGGAAGCATTGCAATTTACGTTATAGCTTAATAGTTATTTTTTTTAAAGTAAACATAGCTGTCAAAGATATAGCTGTCACATACTTTTAATAGATTTAATAGAAAATTAAGATTGATAGCAGCGTGAAAATTGTCATTCTAAAGTAAGAGTAAAATGACTTAGGGTTGTGCGGAGTCAAAGAGTGTTGATGACAACAGCACCAACTTCTAATTACAAAAATCTTAAATTGATTCATGATTCTTACGAAGCAAGCAGGAACTCAAAGTTCTCAACTCAGACCAACCAATCTGGCAAAAAAAAACATAACGACTACAGTTCTAAATCTGGAGACAAATATTGACAAAATTAGAATTCACGGGTCACTGATCAGCAAGTGACATACTGCAAGGGTCACTCATCAAGGTTCAGGACATCCTGGGAGGGTAACCCCCTCAAGGTTCTTAAAATCAGCAAGTGAAACCCTGCGACGGTACTCCTCAAGGCTCACTCAACAACGGCAAGTGAAATTCTGCAAGAGCACCCCCTCAAGCGTCACTCATCATAAAGTGACAACCATCAAAAGTGCGACGAAGATATTGATGACATTTTTAACTTCTAGTCGCAAAACCATTAATTGACTTTCTCTTTTCTATCTTTCTTTTTCTATTTTTTTTCTAATTTTTCTCTTCTAATTTTTCTTTTTCTAATCTTTCTTTGTCTAATCTTTCTTTTCTAACCTTTTTGTTACTAAACTTTCTGAACTCTTACAAGCAATCATGGAATAAAAGTTTCAACCAAGACTAATTAGTCTGACAAAAAATATTACGATCGACTAGTGTTTTTAAATAAAATGACGTTAATATATAGGACACATAAGAAAAAACTATATTAATTTTGACTTGTTTCAAATGACAAAAATATATAATACATAGAAAAACTAAGAGTTAAAAAACGCTTTTTGGGGTCTTGATTGATTCAAAAAACTAAATGCATCAACGTACCATTTCTTACTATCTATTCAAGCTTTACCTAAAATTGCAGACTTAATTTACATGAACATGAGGCAACAGTTGAGCTTAAGACTATCCAGATGCAGTGAAAATTTCATATACTTCTCAGTTTCACTTATTTGAAAAAGAAATTAAAATTGAAAATTAATTCAAGCAACCGCAAAAGTTCGAAGTCAAAACACCCAGTCATTCGCGTTGAAAACCAAACTACGCTGAAAACTACAACAAGACTGCTCGTATCAGGGCGAAGCCCTGAATGTTCCGACTGCCTTTTAAGGATTTATGGAGGAGTAATAACGTCAAAAAATTAAATGAGTAATAACGTCAAAAAAACCCACCCCGAGCACAAATATTCCGTTACTTACGTATCGAAAGTCGGAACAATAATATGGAAAATATATGGCTAGTAAGACAATTCGTAACAAGCGACAACTTTAAACACGCGACATATCGTAATAAGGCATTGGTAAGTAGCATCCGCTGACTCTGCTTCGCTTACATCTTCCTGCACGAAAGGAATAGTGCGCGTGAATCAGTGTTCCTCATTCAACTACTGTTAAGAATTGGTCGCTTGTTACGAATTCTCGACTATTACGAATTGTCGCCCAAAGTTAAATGAAGTTCTTCAATCTCTTCATTTGTTTCACACATGAGCTTCGCAGATAAATTGTACGCTGTTTGGATTGTTATCAGGAATTTATGACCTGCCGAAAAACATTTTCTGCTTTCAGACACAGAAAAAAATAGGAATTTCACCATAACACAAATCTACACTCACAGCCCACCAGTCCACTAGTTAAGTATGAAAAACATTCATCTCAGTCTAGATTTCAACGATGATTCAGGACATGAAAATAGCTGTCACGATAAGACTGAAAGTCGTGAAGTATATACTGACGACACCGTACAAGCGTTCTTTGATTTAAGAGAGCGCGGATAACTTCATTTCCATGCGGTAGTTCCTTATAAATCCGATTGCTTAAGAGTTCAACCCTGTTATATTCGTATCATTGAGTCTTTAAACCGCTATAAAACATTCTTCAAGGAAATAGGATTATGCCAATTGATTCTCAGTCATTACGTACAACACAGGTGCTATCCGTTGCCAACAGAATTAAATTTTTGTACATTAGGAAATCATGAGCGAACAAAATCCATTGTTTATCACTCTCCTTATTATCAAAAACCAGGGTTAACATTTACCAGGTCGTGATTCAGAGCTCCAAGTTTGGGCACAAAATATGACGTTCCAATTCTCCGTAGTTTTCAAAAATCACGATTTTGTCTCAAAATTTTAGTTTTTTTTTTCGATAAAAACAGAAAAGAATTTTTTTTAATTATGAATAATATACTCAATTTGTGTTCAATATTTCTAGCTGCACGTTAAGAAAAAGAGATGGTTGATTGTTTTTTTTTCTAAACTAAAAGTTAATATAGATAACAAGAAAAAAGTTTTTTTTTCCTCTTTTATTGATAGTTTATTTTTTGTTCATAAAACAAACATGGTGAGATTCTCCTAAAACATGCTTCGCTGTTATCTATCTCCTCCATTTTGTGTTTGTTTATTTTGATCGATGTTACAAACTGAAATACATTCACAATTATGGAGAAAAAAAATGCTTTTGAAAAACAATGTGACAAATTTGTTCCTACCGTAGAGGAATTGAGAAGGCGAGTGATGACAAGAAGACATTAAAGAAGTCGAGGAAAATGTCATCACAAGCCAGAAGGTCCTCCAAGTTATCTTCAGTCACTTCCACCAGTTTCCTTTGCTTCATTATTTATAACTTCTTCTTTTTAAGGAATTTTAAACCACTTCTTCTAGTGCAATGAAATAGGACAACAAATACCACCAGAGCTTTTTAGAATAATGGATAGAACTCGCTTTAACCTTTTGTTTGTAAATTACGCGTCACACAGAACGTACCAGCGTTTTATTTTTCAGCAAATTTGATGCACCTGCAACGTTTTAATCCGTTGTCACAATAACTGGAGAAAATATTTCAAGGAGATACATTGATCTGCTTAAACCATTAGTTTCTCTCAATATAAAAACATGGTAGAAAAATTGTATAATTCAGAAATTGAATACTAAAATTTAGAAAACATTTGAAACCGGTTAGTTAAAGTTAAATCTCAATAATTTAATTGAGGCAAGCTTTCTGAAGTCTGAACTTATAGCAGAAATTTACAAGCAGTAAAAAATCTTTCTTAACAACCTCTTTCAATCAATCAGTTAACACACTTCTATTTATTCAGTCTTTTCCATATAACACTTCAATCAAATCCAACTAAAATGACAAAAACTCGATCAAATAAACATAAATTTTAGCGCCCAAGTCTATGTTAATCCAAAAACAAGGTGTTAGTTCTTAATTACTTAACAATCTCCACTAAATCATTTTGGGTTGCGCAGTTATCATGAACAAAATTACAAAAATGAGGTCTAGTTTGAGTAATTTGGTATAAAAAAGATTTGATGGTACCACAAAAGGGAAACCAATAAGTTTGATCATCAGTGTAAAACATCAAAAAGGCAAATATTTCTCTGAAAAAGTGTATCTAGTTTTCAGTGCAGTGATTTAGTTCTGTTCGGAGCATTCTGTGACACGAATGGTCCTTCCGAGATCTATCTGACTAAATGATGGTGTTCTCTGCAGTAGGGTTTTCCAGACTTAGAGAAGAAAGTCTCGCCCTCCAGTCGTTTCATGCAAGTGGCACACTTGAAGCATTCTGCATGCCAGTTCACGTTAAGAGCCTCTAGCCACCTGTGGCCAGCCTGGATCGGCTTCTGGCACGCCTCACACTTGCTAGTAAACATCTCGTTCCAGTCTAAAACCCAGTCAAGTAGATGCAATTAGAAGCTGCTCGAAAAAAAATTAGAGGTTTAACTTTCCTCTTTCCCTCAATTATTTTCAGCTGCCAGTAATTATTTGGTTCTCGAATCAGCAAATTGGTTCTCAAACAACAGCAGGACTAATCGAACAACTGTTTTTCATTTTATTCATTCTAGGATTTTTTGTATATCGATAAGGGTATGTTTCTAATAGAAGTGACAACCTTCGTACACAGGCCACTTACGTTCTTCACAATAGGGCATTCCCTCTTCCAAATGAAAGCCTGCATTTCCAAATGGTCGCTTGCAGTGGGTACACACAAAACACTGCGCATGCCATGTCTTCTCAATTGCGTGCAACACATCCTTTAACATAAAGATACAAACTAAATATTTTTAACACAGTGTCAAGTTTGATAGCACAAATCGCACAAAGCCTTCTCCCTAGTACAAAGGTCGAAAATTGTTCTTAGGTTTAAAGTTCGTACTTGCTATAACACTTTAATTAGTTCCTCATATAATTCGGGATTCGTTACCTGACACAGGGGACCGAGTGTTAAATGGATCGAGCAAAAGCTCTGGTAGCTCAAAATATTTGATTTTAACTCTTACGAATTTCAAATTGGCCTTCATAGAAAACCAAAAAAGCACTTGGAAACACCAAGAAAAATCAAATCATTGAGTTACTTTTTTCCAATAACATGGATTTTAACATCAATCACAGTCTGAATGATGTTTCTGGCTACTTGCCCTCAAAAACCGTTAGGTTGCGAACTCGACTTAAGATAATGTGCCTATGAATCAAACCAGCGAATCAAGTAACAATCACGCATACTATTTAGCTATTGATAGCATTGTCCGTTGATATTTCTTTCTAATTACTCAATTCCCGTCAAATTGTGCTCAAATTGATTTGTCAATTAGATGATTTCGTCTTAATTTTAGCTGAAACTGACTAGAAAGACATTCTAACCCCAACGATACGATCTCCACACTTGTAGCAGGGCGGAGCGAACATGCTGTTGTAGTGCTGCTCACACAGCAGCTGTCCAGTTGAGTCATCCTGTACGAATCCCTCATCTTGCAGATTGATGCCACACACATTACACTTGAAGCAGTCTGGGTGCCAGTTCTTGCCAACTGCAGTCACAAATGGGCCCCTGCAGAAAATCAAATTGAGACAACTTCAAGGCGATTTTCAAATTCTTAAGTGTTTAAGAAATGTTCAAGAAGAAAAGTTTAAGAAGTAAAAACTTATAACAATTGCTTTTTCTACTGAGTTTAAGAAGTAAAAGCTTAGTAAAGTTTAAGAAGTAAAAACTTATAACATAATTGCTTTTTCTAGTGAGCTTTTCCTAAAATCAACATACTTGAACTCAACTCAACCTTGTGATCTCTACTTAAGTACCAACATACGAACTGTTAATCTGAACAATACCAACTGTTGCTCTCCTGATTGACAGATAGGCAGCTTTTCTGTGCTCGTGAATCGATGCACGGAATCTCCGGCAAGGAACATGATTCATTGCTGGCCTCCAGCCACATAATTTTTCGTTGTAGTACGTAGTGCATAAAAAATGATGTTATTTGACATGTGAGCCAAGTATGAACGGACAGAACTATCATTGAAGTTCTCAGATTGAGCCATTTCTTTTTATTTCTCAAGACCTGAACATCTAGACAGTTTCAGATAAATATCAAACAAAATGAACCCCTAAAATAAAGCTACTAGCTACAAAAATACATCGAACTTGCATGTTTAGCCGCATATAGCCCTGGACCAACTGAGCATTGATTCCGAGCGGGGAAAATTAGTTGAACTTAACTTGTATCATTCTAACTGGGCCCAATTTGCGAATGCTTTCAGGCGCAACAAGACTGCTGGGATCAGTTATAGCAGAAACAGCTTGTCGGTTTATGCAATTAACTTGCACATATAAGAGGGCTTAAATAGGTTTTACCCAATTGCCAACTCGAGACAACACTACTTGTATTTAGAAAAATAGTAACTGCCAACATACAGTGACAAATATCGAAATAGCACAGAGGCAGTATCCAGCTTAAACATTTCAAATGTTCAACTATTTGGAAGAGGAATTATAAATAGCTGATATACACCTTCAAGTCGTACAACCATTTACAACTGACCAAGCGTCCGCAGTAGGCTCTTATTTTCATAAACTTTAAACTTACAGAAACTTCCTAGAACCTTTTTACAGGATTCATGTAAGTGGTTCTTTCTGGTGTATTAGATTAAACAAATGAGCGACCGATTTGAAGCACTACCGCCACAAAACTTCCAATGACATCAAGGGTTACAAAGTTAAAGTGCCATTTTAATGTCACGTATTTGTCAAGGCGTAGATAGAGGTCACTAATCAAATAAGACCATAAATTTGGATACCAAAATTCACATTAGAAAAAAATTGAAGGAGAATCCTAAGTGGCATATTCTATTTTACGTGATGCAGTTTACGTGAAAAAAGGACCAGTCTGGACCATTCCTCGCTGAACGAAAAAACAATTGCATTTTATTGCAAACATCAAAATATCTAATAAACCATAGATGGCCGGTTGCTGTGTATGTAGAACAGCATGTTCCGAGCACATTAAAAAAAACTATAATTTTTTAAAAAATGTTTTCTTTAATTTATTATCTTTTTTTTGGGCGATGATAATAATAAATCACTCGACCCATTTCGATGATTATTTGTGGTGCCTGATTTTGCGAGAAAAGTAAAAAAAAAACGAAAAAAACCTTACCCGAATATAGAGTTCCTTCTCATTTTTCTAATGGTCGGAACAACCAGGATAGCCGGTTACTTTGCAAGTAACACGGAATGTTCCGACCATGATCTAAGAAATAAATTTCAAGTAGTGTATTTCATCTTAAAAGGATCTGAACGAAAAACTAAACTTGGGAATATTCGACAATCATAGAAAAAAGAAGTCAGACAGAAAAAAAATTAAAATCGGTAAATTTTTTTTTATTTTCGAGAATTTCGATTCTTGAAATGGCGCATCCTAATCCTAAAACTAATTTTACTCGAGTAAAACTAAGTTTTCACGGCTGAAATTCATCCTAAAAAAGCTCACGTACGACTGCTCGCTCGCTTTATTCGCTCGAATTTAGAATAAAAAACGAAAAGATTTAAGCCTGCTTTTCTCGATACTGGGACAACTTTGTGAAAATTTTTACGTCGTTAGAATTACGACTGAAAAGGCTTTGATGATATATCATTGGACCCATTCAATTGAATCTTTGTGGTACCTGATTTGGCATGGAAAACATAAAAGGAACAAGGATAGCCGGTAGAATTATACAAATGCGTAAAAAATTAGTCAGCTAGGCATAAAAGATAAATAAATAAATCAAAAAATGAATGAATTTTCAAAAAGAAATTATATTTTTGCACTCAAAATTTCCAATAATTTCTGAAATTTTTTTTTTGCCAGAAATGCGCTAAATGAAGCTTCGAAAGCGGCTAAAATTAACTTTTTTAGCCTAAATTGCTTAGTTTCATACTTTACATAGAACAAACGTTACTCGATCACTTTACTCGCTCGAAATTTGACTGAAACGAAGTTTTTCTCGACACTCGAAAAACTTTTTGAAAACTTTTTAAATGTCGTTCGAATCACGACTAAAAGGCTTTAATATGATGTATTACTCGCCCTATCCCGATGATTAGTTGTGGTACCTGAATATGCGTGAAAAACTAAAACTAAAATGAATACAAGTTCCTCGCCAACTTCAATGGTCGGAATAAAAACTTGAATACATCCGAATACAACGTTCCTCCCCATTTTCAATGGTCGGAACAAATACATAAAAACATGGATTATCAGGGCAAAAAAGGGGCAGTAACCTTATAACACCTTGGCATGCTTCGCACGAGGGGTTCCTCGCAGCGGTGCCATCATTGCCCGCTGGTGTCGAGGTAGGAGCTGCACTCGCTTCTGGTCGTTTCCAGTCCCGCACAGAAGCAGGCACCGTAGGAGCTTGTCTGGGAATAGCGGGTATTGCACCTAACACAAAAAAAAACTAATGGATTGCCAATGCTGTAATACGGATATTTTAATGAGGTATTCTACTGTATGTCTCACTGATTTTCGGCACATTCAATACATCGTACATCAACGCTATTGAAATTTTAACCTGACGTTCTATGTACTGCCTCATTTTTGATAAAACTCTCGCAATTCGATAAATAATAGAAAATAGATTACCTCTGAACACGAAATATTTTCCACGAAAAAGTCTCAGATTAACTGACAGTGAATGCTCAAAAGACAAGAAACTTACTTTGTACACTTTGTCGAGCTGTGTTGACATTCGGCTGGCCTCGGCTCATGTCACGATTCGCCACGAACTAAACATAAATTCCAAATAAAATAATCCGCTGGACCTTTCATTAGGCCGGTATAAATTTCCGAAGCATTATTTATTGTTTACCGTCATTCAGCAGAAAAACATAAGTTCACAGCTTTTCAATGTCGGCTTTATAATATTTGACGGCTGTTGAACACGAAAGACAATCTTCGTGCAATTGATCGTCAAGCGAAGCCATTAGATTGCAAATCGGAACACTATAACCCAAATATATTTGCTTTTCATACTTATTCTGGTAAAATCAGTGGTTGGAGCAAAAAAAATAGAAACCTCTAAGCTTACCCTTGCACAAATGGGCTCTGGAGAGATTTTCCTCCCACATGCTCCGAACAATTTACAATCAAATTGTGTCGTATTGGAAGAAGGCATTGGTACCATTGTAACTATTTGGTAGACTAATTCTTTTTTTTAAAGAATCTGTTCACTTTATGATAGCCAACTGACAGTTGGAAAAGAGTAATGAACGCAAGTGAACAGAAAAAAACCTTGACTTTGTTGAAAAAAAACCTCAACTTTCGAATTTCAAAGAAAAAAAATAGATGCCCTTTAAGCTCTTTGAACTTCTAGAACAATTTAACATCGGCGCTTTTTTGATAAGATTAGCCCATCTAGAGAAAACTGTATCAATAGGTAAAGTTTTTATTCCGCTGGAAATCTTAAAATTAAATTCCACGTTCGAAACCAGAAATTGTTGACGTTTTTTGCGCTATTTCCACGTTCGTTTTTGGAGAGTGCTATTAACGGAACTTTCAGCAGATAAATTTCAATTGAACTCAGTAAGTGCATTAAATCCTAAGTGCATTCATAAATGCATTAATATGTATGAATGCATGCACATATGTAGTTATTGGAGCATTTGAAGACTTTTTCCTGAAAAAAATCCCCCAAACCTATATAAGAGTCATTACTACGTTCATTACTCTTAATTAGTCTGAATACGTTGCTAGTTTGATTAAATTTTGACAGCATTGCAAAAGTTTTTTCAGCAATGAAAATCAAATATTTGGGAGGGGTGTTAGAAAAAGCCCACATTCCTAAATGCAAAATCCGAAAAAATTACCAAGATAGACCTAAAACTTCGTCAAACTAGCTTCGATACTTTGGAGAGTAACTAACTGAGTTCGGTTGCGGCGGCTTCGGAGTCGGCTGCCATTTTGCCGAAGGCTGTGAACTAATCTCACTCACAGGTCCACCTGAGCTATTGACGCTGAATTTGGTCGAAAAGGGCTGCTGGGCTGATGCCACGTGAATATTGTTATCCATTTTATTAAAGGCTCCCGCTCTGTTTGGAGGTTGTTGCGGCAAATACGAGGGTCTACTATTCTGTCGCTGCATTTGGTTAGCAGGCGTGTTTTTGTCATTGTAGTGCGCAGGAGCTGAAACGAAAATATTAGTATTTAATATTGTGATAGCTGAAAACTGTGTATGATTAATGATTATATTACCCCAAATAGAACACCTCTACGAAGACTAATGGGTTATCGCCTATTTGCCAGCCAACAATTTCTAAGAGGTATTCGAATCATAATTATAGTAAGTTATAACTCTCCTTCTGTATGCACAAAAAAGAAAATACATACATTTTTTAAACGCAAACCCTTAACAACAGGGGCGGATTTAGGGGAGGGGGGGGGGGGGGGGGGCGGGGGCAGACGCCCTTCACTCAGGGATTCGACCCCGTTCCGACCCAAAGGGTCCCCCCTTTGATACTTTTTAAGAAATCCATTTTTGGCCAACCGACCCTAAAAATTTTCAAAAGGCGCCTTTGGCGCCAATATATACTAACTTTGAGGAGCAGCGCGCGCCAAAAAAACGCGATTTTTGGTCAAAATTTTTCAAAAAGTGCTCAAACACGGCTTTTTTCAAAAATTTGCCTACGGCGCAGAAAATTTTGCCAAAATAGGGGCAAAACAGTGCTTTGGGAGAGCTCGAAAAATCAATTTGGTCGACCTAAAAAAAGTTCAAAATTTAAGAAAATTTTATTTTTTGAAAATCCGCCCCCCTTGAGAAAATCCTAGATCCGCCCCTGCTTAACAATATTTGGTTTTTTCCAGTATAGCCCCAGCATAGCTTTTTCGAGAATAGCCAAAGCATAATTAAAAAGACCCATAGGTACCCATTGTTTTGTACCCATAGCCCCAGCATAGCTTTTTCGAGTATAGCCAAAGCATAATTAAAAAGACCCATTGTTTTGTAGTTTTACGAGGGGGGTGGGAAACTGGAAAAGAGCCCCAATTTTCAAAACAATCAAATAATGTTAACAAATTTTTAATTTGTAAAATTTTGCAGGTGGGGGGTAAAAGGAAAAAGCCGACACATATTTGAAAATTGTTTAAGAACTAAACCACATCAGTCACATTTATTTCATGGAAATCAGCTTATAAACTAATCTTCCTTTAGCGCACGTGTTAATCCATATCATTTTCCGCAACAACTCAGCAACTAATAGCAGCTCACTCAGCCACCTATTATAATAACAACCAAGTTCTAATTAACAAAGGGATACCAACAGACCCGCTAACTGTGATCGGTCGGAAGTATGTTGACGGAGGAGGACAAAGAGACTTTTGGCACTAAGCCCATGCACGAGGTGCAGGCTAGCAAACCGATCCCATGTATGGTCCCATGGGACAAGGTTGGTACTTTTGTGCAGTTAAACGTACAAATGTCCTTAAGACGGTTTCTTTTCTCACTAAAACGGTTTTTCCTTTCCTCAAAAGATCCATCCTTCTGTTTTTACTAGATTCTAATTTCCAGGCGTTCCTCAAAAGATCCATCCTTATGTTTTTACCAGATTCTAGTTTCCAGGCGTTCCTCAAAAGATCCATCCTTATGTTTTTACCAGATTCTAGTTTCCAGGCGTTCGAGATATCCGAACCTCGAAAAAATAGCGAAAAGGATATACGGTTTTTCCTTGTTTAGAGACAAAAATTTTGACACAGGATTAACAATTATTCTTCTTTCAAGTCTGATCCTTCTTTAAGAGGCTTACTCTCATTTTAATGTCTGTTTTCTGGCCCTGTTCCCATTAAAATAATTTTTGTGATATTCGATTAAATAAATATTAAAAATCTCTTTCGCTGCTTCAAATTGTAATTAAAACGTGTCAGCCGGAACAAATGATCAATAATATTTCTTTCATGTGCACTGGCTCATAAACAATTTTAAGACAGTTAAATTGTAGTTGTACGAGGGGAAAAAATCCTTTTCTAAGTTTCCAACCACTTTATCTCAATGAAATAAATGCAACAATTGATTCAGATGAAGGAGCGCCTGTTCGTGCCAAATGTGTTCAAGCCCTCCTACTTGAAGAACTGTGAGCAACACTCGAGAATGCACTGCAAGTTTGCAGCTGATAAGAGTTCGATGTGGCTGAAGTTGACAGATGACAACCGCACGGCCACCCACGTCAAACAGCCACATGCCATCAAGAATGGAGGACACCCCAATGAGAAAGGGTACATGGTTCTTTCTTCTACCGTTTCCACTATGATTTTACCAAAAGAAGCACTGGTTCTTTTCCATTCCACTCACCCCTATTTCAAGTTTTCTGGTTTTTTTTTAGTTGTTTCACAGGTTGTTGTCTTAATACGTAATGTTACGATGTAAAGAATGAAGAATATGTGTTCACAACGTTCACAAAATTTAGCTTGTTCACCATGCAAAATTTCATAGCATTATAGTAGTAGTAGTAGTAATAGTAGTAGGATAGGCTTCTGGGTAGACCCACGGGTGTGAACCCTCACTGTGATCACTTTAAATGAGGTTTCCAGCTAGATTGCATTGTCGGCAGAGGCAGAGGATGCTCCAAGTGCACAGGACTAGTTCGTTGTACTGCGTTTCCACGTAATTCCAATATACTCGTGTTAGATTTTGTTTCAGATTTGTTGCGTCGCTAAAGTCAACATTTTTTGAGAAAATATCATACGGCAAAGCTGCTCTTTTCCAGAAATTTTCATCACTTTTGCATAATCGATATTTTGGCACTTCGAACTCGTTGTTATTTCCTTGTCAGGCTGTTTGATTCGTGTTCCAACTTACATATTGAGCCGCTGCTATATCGTAATTACCGCAGTTAACACTCCAGAAGAGCAATATGTCGAGCAACTCCATATATATGGACACTGGCAGTAGATAAGCTGTTTTGAAATTTTGTGACACATGAATAATTGTAACCATATATCCAAGACATTGCTCTCGATTGCACTGTTTCAATGATTTTCAACTCTGACTTGTTATAATATACCGCTTGTGAGCCATAAGTTAAAATGGGAACTACATACCGAATGTAACAATTGACTTTTGCTCTGACGGTTGTTTTGGATGAAACATTTCTTTTCATAAAAAATAAGCGAGTTTGTCGCCTTCGTTATGTCCAGGGTTGGGGAGGTTATTTAAGAAAACATTCCGCATTTAACTGTTTTTTAGATTCAATATCGTTCCGCTGGGGTGGGGGGGGGGGGGGGGGTAATGATCGGAGCTTTAGTGCTGAATTTTTTCAGCTCCGGATTTTTGGTTTTTTTCGGAACTCCAAACTTCAATGCTATGGAAAAGAAACTAAATGGAAAAGAGCCAAAATTGTGGTCAAAAATTCCCATTGGTTTTTAAATTTTGTAAGCATGGTAAATACCCCATTACAAATAAATTCGGCTTTCAATACAAATGCGTGTTTGTATGACTTAAACTCTATCTCTTTGTTATAAGTTCGAAAATTACCGGTGGGAGAAAGTTGCACAAAAACGTTTTTTTATAGCGCGGGAGGGTTCAAGTTTAATAGGCGTTTGTCACAATTTTGGATCAATTCTGATAAATATTCTAGTAAAATCGAAACAAAAAAATCTCTGAAACAAAAAAAAATTGCAGTTCATTTCCAGTTCTCCCCCTTCAAAACTTGAATAAAAATTGGTGAATTGAGAGTTCTGATATCATCTGATATTTCATCAAACAAAACGTTTTTGTCTGCTTTTTTAAAGTTTTTTGCCACATAAAATCACAGAGATATGAATCCAACTCGGTTTGTACAAGCACCTGTTATTGGATCCACAGAAATTATGCAGTGTTTCAGTTCGACGCTCATAACCACATTTGTCGATAGCATTGAATTTTAGGATTTCTATTCGTCCGAAATAATTTTACAGCCTGCAACAATGCTACTTTTTTTAAAAGTGGATGAGCAAATCTTTTGTCCAAGTTTCCAGCGCATATAAAAAACAAATCTCCAGTTTCCCTGCAAATACCCCCAAAGAGCGGCTCTCTGACCGGTCTGTCTCTCTTATACTTTCTTTTTACAAAACGAATCTCATCAATTTTGACGGTTTTGCTTCTTCCACTAATTTTTTTGGATTCTCAAGAAGAAACTATGCATAAAATTCTCGAACAAAATTATTCCAGTCGACAGTCGTTGTATCGCCAATTCCAAGTTCCTTTTCACAAAACTTCATTGATCTTCGCGATCCGAATTAATTAATTTCATCTCGTGTCCACAGTCACAGTATCTTGTTTTGCAAAATTTTTTCTGTTTTGAAGAAATTCAAGAGTAATTTCTTTGGTAAAACACACTTTATACAGCTCGATAAAATTCAATTATCAAGTTTTTTTAAATGCATTTCTGGTAATTTCAGTATAATTTCAAGGGTTTTTGGTGTAAAGTTTCGATGAATTTTGTGTCAGCTTTCTAACTCCGTATTGTTGGAACTGTATCACTTTAAAATTTGGTTTGAATTAATTTCAAAAATTGATTTACAAAAAAATCAGCAAAAGCGGCACTGGAAAAGAGCCAAATTTGCATAACATTTTACGGTTTTTTTTCTATTTTCTCCCCACATTTGAATTTCAACTTTGAAACTATTTAAAGTGTCTTATGCGAGGAAGTATGAAGTTTGGCATGGTGAACAGACTAACTATTTTGAACCAATTGTTCTTGTTATCTTACTTCGCAACATCACTCATAAAAAAGATCTGAGGAAATAGAAACTTTGAAATATGAGGGGAGGAGGAAGTGGAAAAAACCCATTTTTTTTTTACTTAAAACCCACTTTTTTGCGTTGAAAAAATTGCTTTTTTTGATTTGTAGCGCTCACAAACGGAACATTTTGGTCTGTCGGGGATTTAGGGAGGGAGGGACGCCCTTTGAACTATTTTGAGATATCCAATTTTGGCTGACTGACCTTAGAAGTTAACTAAAGGCGGCGCCAATCTATACTAATTTTGAGGGGGGGGGGGGGGGGGGCGCCGAAAAAAATGCGAAACGCGATTTTTTTGGCCGAAAATTTCCAAAATGTGCCTAAAACGCCTTTTTTCAAAAATTTCCATGCGGCGCAGAAAATTTGGTCAAATTATGGTCTTAATAGTGATTGGGGAGAGCTCGGACAATCAGTTTGGTTGACCTATGAAAAAAAGGTCGACCAAAATATTCAATTTTTTTTGAAAATCCGCCCCCTCTCGAGAAATTCCTAGATCCGCGCCTGATTTTGGGTATAAAGTATCCCGTTGTGGTCCAACAATCCCCCCCCCCCTCCCACCCCCCCAAAAAAATAGAAGAGAAAATGTCTTAATGTAATGAAAATTCATATGATGAACAAACTATTGTGAATTGTGAACAGATTTCCCTTCATACCTTACGTCGTAGCAATGATGGGGCGGGGAGTGGAAAAGAGCTTTGTACATATTCTAGAAGTGTGTTTTCCTGACAATGAAGTAGTGCAGAGCATATGCTCATAACAGTTATACGGTGCACACCTTCCATTGATGATTAATGACGATGTTTAAATGGTTATCAAAATATAAATTCATAAAAGGGCCAGTGCTTTCTTGCTTCACTGACTCTTAAAACTAAGAGAGCAGTCTATTTATGGATATTAAAATGGATTACAAACAAACTACTTGATACTCATTGGAACTAGTTGGTGTTTTCCAGTTTCCCGCCCCCCTCATAAAA